ATGGAAGCTGTCAAACGGTTTTTACTTTTTTATTTCCTAACATTTGTACTGACATCACACCCCCTATACATCTATATTTGTCAGGCTCACTGGGTCATGAAATCCTGTTGAAATTATTCATTCATTACAATATCAAGAACAGGACCGTTCTTAAAGCATGAGAAATTGTTGTTGAGAGGATAAAGTCCCTCAGGGGAGTTTGTTTTTAGAAATACTTTCTTTATAAATCATGCAGAAACAAAAAACAGTGCTGTGCCAATGTGTACTTTTCTTGAAAGATGTTTTAAAACTTTTATATTCACTTATATATGTGAATATTTGCTGTATTTCAGTACTTACAGACAATTTGGAATGTAATATAATCAGTTCATAGGGAAGCAGACTGTATTATAGTTTTACCGATGTCTTGCATGTTTCCTCTGTATTTTTTTGTTTAAAAGAAGTAGTGACTACCAGTAAAGATTTGTATTTTTTATGTACAAATTAGGTTAGAATCATAGCTGGGATTGTGCTGAAAAAATGTGTATCATGCAAGATTAAAAGGCATTAAAACACATACAAATATGAATGCATAGAAAGTTGCATATTTAACCAGAATCAAGTGAGACTGCAGAGACTCTATGAACCTGATATATTCAGGACTAAAAGATTAAGCTCTAAATGATAGCAAAAAGATTATTCTACCTTAGTTCAACAGCTTTTCTGTGGTTTTTTTGAAGGTATGACTTGAACTTTATGAAATCTGAATACAGACAGAGGGGAAATATCACTCTTAAAGAGCTTCATTCAGAGTTGTGACATGGATCAGGTCCAAAACAAAAAAGTGCAATACAAACACACCTAGCATTAAAGATCTTTTTCCTTATAGACACTTCATACTGTAGCCTCACGCATCCTGTCTCTCGAGGAAGTGTTTTTCAAGGTTTTCTTTCTTTCCCCAAAGCCCCTCCTCGTGTAACATGAGCTCCGGCTGCAGCTGTGTCTATGCAAAACTGTCCTTCTCAACTGTGTTAAGTGAAAACAGTGAAATGTGCTGATGAAAAAAACCAAACACCCTGAGGCCACGAGCAGAAAGTATTTCACATCCACTCCACTCTTTACTTTCTATCCTGCAGGGCCCCATGGGTTTACATCACTTTAAAAAGAACATGATCTTTTTTTAAATGTAAAAACAAGCCTCACCTTGTCTTAAAGACCTCTTCACGTGTGAATACTGAGACTCCAGCAGCTCGGTCTGCTCGCTGCTTTCACCGAACAAGTCTTCATCAACTCCTTCCTGGAAACAGAGAAGTATGAATAATGAGATAAGTGTCAGGGTCGCAGTTCAGATCGATTATTGCTGAACTTCAGGTCGCACTGGGGTGAGAACACTGTGTTTTCAGGCCTCTGAACCACTGACACTACAGCACCTCTGGCTGTGAGAGATCAATCAGCAATATGTGTCTAATTTGATTAAACTCACAACATAAGTGTTTGTTTAACCTTGCATGTAAATGAGGACCTGGATTAATCTGTTGACTTAAATAAGGACATCACAACTGCACTGCTAATATTTGACCATTGTATCTACCTCACTAACACGAGAGAGGATGTTTCCAGCATCTGCTGCTCACAGTTTGGATCATGCAACAGTGCTCGTCAAAAACCTCCAACACAAACTGCTGCTACTACACAAAAAACAATCGAGGCCGGGTTTGGTACCTGGAAGTGGCTGTGCTCGGGGTCTTCATCAGTTTGGGTGCTGCTCTCTCGCCCACTGCTCCCCAGCAGCCACGGCGAGGAGAGGCAGAAGAGGAAACACAGGACATAGTGGGTGAGAGAGCGGCCACAGTCTGAGAAGTACCACAGCAGGCCGAGCGTTACCGCGATGGACACGCGCCGTATGTACATCTTCTTCTCCCTCTTCCTCTTCCTCTGCTGCTACTGTCCTCTTCCTCTTCCTCTCACTCGCTGCCCGGCTGTGCTTCACATAGTTTGTCCGTCTGTAGCTCCTCTAACACCGGGTGGAGGAAAGAAAAGGAGACGCTGTTTCCACAAAGCGGAAAGAAGCGAAGTTTTCTGAAGTGGTGGAGGAGCCGAGCTGTGATTGGCTGCAGCCAGTTCCGCGTGTCTGCTGTTGATTATATCAGGATGCCATCTATAGGCTACATGTATCTATCTATCTATCTATCTATCTATCTATCTATCTATCTATCTGTCTATATGTCTGTCTATCTATCTATCTATCTATCTATCTATCTATCTATCTATCCATCTATCTATCTATCTATCCATCTATCTATCTATCTATCTATCTATCTATCTATCTATCTATCTATCTATCTATCCATCTATCTATCTATCTCCCTCTCTCTCCAAATTTCACTACTAATACTACCACCATATTATGATTATGATGATGATGAT